CACGTATGCATCTTAGCTACAAAACGCAAGTGAGCATTGGAACCAAGGAATGTATTGTGAGAATGCATTCCTTTGCCGCCTCATTGGTTGACGGCGGCAATGCTTTGTCGACTCGGCATTGCCAAGCCAATTCCCACTTCCAAACAAATATTTGTATGAACCACAGCTATTTGTTTTCCATTCGATTTCCACAGTCAACGTATGGATATGAAAGTCTTTGAGCCTGTAGGTACGCCTTCGTTTATTTGTAGTTGCAGTTTCGTAGTAGGTAGTAGTGAATTAAATTTTCAGCTGAGTTCGGGCTGTGTTTCGGAACAAACTTGATACAATTTTTAACACAGTGATCATTTAGCAGATTATAAATTGATTCAGAATCGTATTCACTGGAAGATAAAATATATTTTCCAATAACTCTAGTATGACCATAATATTTCTTTAACCCCAATTGTAACTACAAAATAACAATAATACGCTTCTACGATATTGCAAGGAGACTCTTGCGACATTAACAACTTTGTGACGCGACTTTTATCATTCTTTTTACTAAGGCTTATAGTCCAAGACAGGATGCGTCATTTGACGGATGCATGCAATCTACAAATGAAAATAGGCGGCCTATAAATGCTTGCTTAGAAACAATGAAAACTGGCGACGAAGCGACAACGACAAATCCGCCTATCGTTTTGACGACTGTATGCATTCGTGAAAACGTCGTGGACAATGATACAAAAATTATTCAACATTTTTGTTTTGTAGCTCTTGTAATAAAAAGTCGCGTTACGTTGTTGCCATATTGTTACGCTACATAATTAACATATAAATAAGATACGTATGTTTTCGTAATGATAATAAAAGTTTAATACTATTTTTCAGTATCAACGTTAATATCAGTTACAATTTTACTAGACAACCTTCAACAATAGTCTTCCAAAAAGACCGACCGAGATGCACAATTACAGTATAAATTTTCACCACTTGTTTTTAATTCTATGCTGTAGGGACTGAGACTTGGGATATAAATTGGGCACCAAAGTGTTACCGAAAAGATTCCAAATAATATGTTTAAAAAATTAGTATTAGTTATAATTCTCCCAAACTGTGTAGTATCTTTCATTTCAATTCCCTTCTTTCTATTTAAAACATCGATTTAATATCAAATCCAATATTAATATATTATCACCAAAAACATCGCCTTTATTAGAATCAAAGTTACATACAGACTTAGCATTGACTATACCTTAATTAATAACAAAATGTCAGAGCCTCGAGTTAATATATTAGTTCTAAACTAAATCATTTTCGAGATATACGTCTTCACAGAAGACATATTTTATTTTAGTCATTTATTAGAAGCTCCCTAAAGTTTAGTTAATAAGCTACAACTTCTCGAAAAGGTAAATGAGAACATTACGTGTGTATATGATTCCACTTCTAAACATTGTATATTACAGTATGAAATTCGGAATTAATAATTAATTTTACATACGTATTAACTAGGATAAAAGTAAAAGTTCAAACAAAGTCATTTAGGCAAAACGGGGTTTATATTACTTTCTACTTTATTTTTAAAATACCGCAATTTACAAAATTGGTCCAAGATGTCTTCCTTGTGGAACTCCACATTGTTCTAGATTATTCAGAAAACTTGTAGAAAAAAAAGATGAATTATGTAATGTATATTATTCTCATCGCTGGATAAATGATAACTCGATATTTCATTGAGACGGAAAAAACTAACATGCACTCTCCAAAACTTTATACCTCATACATTGAATAAAAAAATCATCTGGAAATATATTGGATTTGTCAAAGGCGTTTGACAAACTCAAACACAATTACACAATGCAACTCCGTTACCTTTTCCCAGAAATCGAGCTCCGAAATCAGTCAATTTAAAGACTTACGAAAATCATTAATTAGTCATTTACAATAAAATTAAACATTTAATTTTAACTTTACATAACTCCTTAACTAATTAAGTAGAATTAATTACATTTTATCTCTTACACTGATATTTACGCTGCTATCACAAGCGAGAGGTGATTTAAAACATTACTTAGATTCTGTTATTACTGTTACACAGTACTATTTATATGCTTATCAACTAAAATAACTTTGTTCCCGTCTTATATTGTACTTTGATCTCTCAGATTATTATTTACATGTGTGCTATCTTGTGAAGATAATGCGAAGTGTGTGGAGATGTTTTAAATGCATTTATTGCAGTGAATCTAAGAACCTATGTAAGATAATTTTACTGCATTCTATCGTGGAATGTTGTAAGGTACTCCTTTCTCGGATCTGTACAAAGATCTGTTTTACATGCTTGCAAGTTTTTTATATTGGATGCTATAAAATTCTATATACAAAACTGTTAAGATGACTGTTATATTTGATAACTTATCAAAACTCAATTAAAATTAAAACTTAAGCGTATTTGTTAAATTATATAATATAGAGTCCAAATTAGCGTGCCATTTGGATACATCAATTTGAAAAATTAATAAACAAACAATAATTAAAATAACATTTCCTCAACACCTATAAATTTTACAAAGTTCAATTTACTTTCAGTATTAAATTTTTAAATTGAACTTTATATAATAATCCAAATTAAAATATATTATAGAAAATTTTCACGACTAGTAAAATATACTTCCACGAGTCCCATTACACTTTTGACGTTGCTGTTAGCATCACATAGCTGGCTCTTGGATTCTCTTCCTGCACTGGTTCTTGCCTGAAGCACCTATGGGGCTCAAATTCCGTTGGTTTCTTCAGCATCTTCCTAACAAACCAGACTAACCCAATTACTATCACCATCAGACCAAGAGCCACGCCGATCAGCGCTGTATTCAAGCTCTTGAAACCTGCCTTCATTTCCAAAGTCCCAAGCGTTTCTATTAGTTGTGGGACCACACATATTGTTCTTCTTTCGTCAACCTTGTATTTTGAAATAGCTGCACAGACTTCATAAGGTCCTCTGATAAAACCTTCCATGGATATTTCCAGAGTAGATTGGCATGGAGTATCTTTCTGGGCTACTAATGAGCCTCTTGATAAAACGGCTAAAACAATGTAGCAGTTGTTGATTGGTCGAATGTCGTTGGACAGTCTTTGGGAGCGAGGTAATACATATTGTGGCCTTTGTGGAAGACCTAAGACTGATATAAGAACTGTTAGGACTCCTTCGTTCGTTACGTTTGATCGGACTTCGGAGACTCTGAAATAGGATACTGAGATAAATAATGCAGTTTAATTTGTAATTATTCACTCTAATTGCTTATCCTAAAGGCTAGACCTTTTGAAGAAAACATACAAATTTAGTACAGGGTCTTTAAGGGGCAAAAATTGTCTACCACAAAACATTTTTATATTTTCAGCATCTTCAGCATTTTCATACCTTAAAGGATTACTCTCAGGGGCTCGAGTAACGACTATAGGGACAACCGTAGCAAACGTAGCTCGCTGTCTCACTTGCATTGGGGCACCGCAGCCCAATACCAAGGAAAGAGGCACATCAGAACTGTCCATTTCTTCTAATGCTATGCAGAACCTGAAATAAAAGAAAAAAAAATTTTGTTTTTGTTCACGTTTTAAATGCCGACAGCCATGTTTGGGTATTAATTTCATATATGATTTAGAATCTACTAGCAAACATATCACATTCAGACTCAAAACACAAATTTGTTGATAACGTAAAGTTCTGTGTGAGAAACGAACCCGTAACAAAGCCAGTCAACACCCAACCATTACTGCAATGCAAAAAAGATTACATACGCCTGCCAATAAAGCAGTAGCATTTGACTCAACATTATGTTATTATATTTCCATCAGGCGTCTACAATGTTACGACCGATATAATGTACGGCCTGCACTGGGTAGCATTCGATATTAGATCCACGTACACTAACAAGTCTTCTATGCTCACTGAGAGAAATCTCAACCGATTTACTTTAAAGTGGTTTTCTATTGAGTTCGTGAACGTGTTTTATTATATTTTATATTGTGAAGTTATATTTTACTGGTCCTAGTTTCACCCTTATTGTAATGAAACTTATGAAATTACTAGCGAAAAGTTTACAGTCTACGTATGACATCAAAGGAGGTTTCCTCTGATGTCATAATAATGATTAGTCAATTATTGTATGTCGCAACCCTGTTGTAACCAACAATACAACACTACCAACTTAATAAAATAGTCTTCACAATGCAAAAAGGAATTTTCCAGATAACTTTTAATATATAATAATCAAAATTAGCTATAATCTATGTAGATTTAAAACTATATAAATAAAAATGAAATTAATTTCCGTTCATTATTTTTGCGTATCTCGAGAATGACTAAACCGATTTCGCTAATTTTGGAATGTTCGTGGAAGTACAAAAAAGGGATAAAAGGTAAAAAATAAATTTTAGGCTATACGAAGTTCGTTAAGTCAGCTAGTAAATAATAAAAATAATTTATTGTTACGTTTACCTTTGCTTAAACAATGTTTCTAATTACGTTAAACTATAGATTTTATAGTTGATACAGTACGAGTGTTTATTTCAGAAAATGGTATTTAAATGTATGAAACCCTGCTTCCTGAACTAGAGGAAACCTGGAAAACTTAAATGGAATATTTGACAATAACTCTTCTTTTTTTAATATTTGATTGGCCGGACGTTTGACCAGTATCTCATAATCCATTAGAACCGATACCCGATACCCACAACTTCAATCCACTTTGTATTATAAGAACTTATCCAAAAACCTACGTGTAAGGATCAACAGCATCAATCTTCAATCCTCGCAGCACCACATTGGATGGAGTAGCTCTATGACAGGCTACATGCTTCGGTAGACCACCAGCTCTTGAAGCGGTTACGCCAGTACACCTGTAACGGTTAGCTGATAGGGGTTCCACCACCCAGGATAAATGGACTTCTTCATCGTCGTACCATGCGTCTATTAGGTGTACCTGGAAACAAAATGAATGAATAAAATTAACGGTTAATAACAATTATAACAAAATATTTCTTGGTCAATATTTATCAATTGTGTGTTATTATGACTCCCATGTCAAATTTAAAAACTCAATCCAGGGCTTAACCTAGAAAATAAAATCTTAAATCCATCCATTCATAAACTTATTTCACTTAAGTTAATCAAATAATCAGATAGCAAAATGACTCATATCCTAAAAGAACACAAAAAACCTAAATTAACTAATTTATGCAAACTAATGAATATGAGGCAACTTCCTACCACTGGTGCTATTATTAGTTACAAATACTATGACTAATTCTCAACGATAAGCATATAATCCTACACATATATTTCGGACAGCTATAAAATTAATTTTACCAAGATCAAAAAGTACATTTTATTTAATAGTAATAATATTTATGAACAAAGCGAGCAGATAAAATCACGAACAAAAATATACAATGTATTATACCAAAAGTTCAGATAGATTGGATGGATTGGATGGCAGATCTAAGGTATCAAAACCTTTCAATAATATGGATAGACGATACAAGAAAAGCCACGAGCAAAGTTAACATCATAAAAACACCTACGAATATCAGTAGATTACTGAGTCATCAAGATAAATGTGTGAAAAATTCAATAAAACCAGTTCGAAAACGGATATTAATCCTAATCTTAAAACACATTAAATTCAATTTTAGATGTTTCCACAATCTGATAACTTAAATATGGTTCGATTGTGTAACAATTATTTTTATTTCGTTGTGACTCATTCATAATCTGAATTTAAAAAAGTTTTATCTCATATATTATGTTGCTATTGTAAGAAGATACTTCATTCACTACTCTAATACGATTGTCTCAAGGTTAATTTCCATGTCAAGCGTTGCCTTCCATTTAACTAAAAAGTTGTCTCATTACTATAATCTACTAAACAAAATCTTATGAATACCTTACCTTAGCATCAGAAATCGGCAAGTCCTCTTCAGCAGGCACTTCTAACTCTTCATCATACAAATCATCATCTAAACCTTCTTGCTTATCGCCATAAACATCAACGTTATCATCAACAGCAACTTTATAATCATCCACGATAGAATTCGCTAGTACTTCGTCACGAGGTACTTTATTTAAATCATAATTTCCGTCTTTCTGTTTGTCTGCATGTTCGTCGTCACATAGCTTGTTTTTCGACAATCTAGATAGCAAAGCACCTTCTAAATGCGGTGGAGTAGCACACACGGCAGCAGATTTATCTGTTTGGGGCAGGTTTTTTGCCTCCCTCAACCACCTTGCGAATCCGGCCATTAGGCAATCGCAATTAAGGGGATTATCTGCAAAAGAGAACAGAATTTATCTTTACGACCCGAATAAATGTGGGTGAAGTTTACTGAGGAAGTTTAAAGTATGAGTAATTGCTTATTTGATTCCATGCAATTTAACTTTTTGTTACTTTTGATAGGGAAACTGAATTTTGCTTCCCTTGTTTAATGCTGTTTCGAGTTGGAGACTTAAAATTGTTTTGCATTTTACTTTTATTTTATCATATTCTTTTTTTTCTTTTACGTTCTTATTATCATGATCTCATGAAACATTAATGCAGTTTCTTAATCTTTTTCTCACATTATCAACTAGCCTTTATCAACCTCTTTCTTAATTAATTTGACCTCTTTCTTTTTAACCTCAAATCAATCTTAAAATAGTCTTTAACCTCCACTACATAAGTCAGCTAATTGAATAATCTGCCAGAAACACCCTAATAGCAACAACAACATCATTCCAATACATTACAACAACATCATTCCAATACATTAAACAATGTTTCTATTTTCCTTTTATGACTGTGTAAAAAAATGTGCTAGGAAAATGTATTTACGTCAACAAAAGTGTCAGTGGCCAGGATTATTCCTTTGAAAAAAAATCATAAAGAGTGGGAACTACAAAGGCAGAATAGTTAAGAGTCATGCAACAATATAACACGAGGTTATCGACGGTCGAACAAAGACGGCTCGACGTCACCTCAGTGAGACGTTGGGCATCGACAAATATCTGTTCGAGACTTACGGATACAGGAATTTGGCTAGCGATTGAAATAATTTTCTTTATGACTTTGTTGCTTTTAACCTATTTACCGTAGGCCAGTTTCTAACTAATCAAATCCAATACTTGAGCTGAAATGTCATGAAGGCTAATTTTCTTCGAATTTCCCTACAAGTGACTTATGAATGAAATCGTTGTAATATTTTATCAATCTATATATATAAAAGAAAGTCGTGTTAGTTACACTATATATAACTCAAGAACGGCTATATCGATTTGGATGAAAATTGGTAGGTACGTAGCTTAAAACCAGGAGACGGACATAGGATACATTTTACCCAATATTTTTTTTTTTACTTTTTACCGAAAATCAAGAACGGGACCGGGAAATAATAATATCGGGATTGCGCGTACAAAGTCGCGGGCAGAAGCTAGTTATGTATATATGAAACTTATTTCCTTTGAATTAACTAGAAAACAATCTAAAATTACGCCTTTAATTAAAGCGATGGAAGTGAGTGATGATTTTTATGTATTATGAAGTTAATTATTTTTCTCGGCTTACTCACGTAATTATTTGACGAAGAGCTTGACTCGACTATCGCGGAATGCTGCTCATGAATTTGAGCCTCTAGCATGGCTTGAAGCTAGTCGAGTTTCTTGTCAAATAATTGAGTAATAAGCCGAAAAACATTATAATTAATTAAGTTGTATATCTCACGAAAGTTATAACAGAAGTATTGAGAAATTGAATTTTTTATTATGGAAACGACCCAAATAGTTGAGTTAACAGTTCTGATTTTGGCTCACTTTTAATCCAATATGACTTCAAAAACTACAAAGACAAAAGTACAGCATGATAAATCCGCCATCTTTGGAACCAGTGTGTATCCCCAAAGTGCGTATCATCGTTTCTCCATTACCTTCAATGGTGAACCGGCCGAGATCCTTGTGCAGCGCCAAAGCTTCGTCATCTATCATCGAGATATCGTTATCATGGAGTAGTAACTCGGTCAGTCGTCGAAGAGACTTCAGGGGTTCAGCAGAGAGGGATCGGAGGAAGTTGTGAGACAGGTCCAGGTGTACTAAGTTGGTTAGCTGTGCTAGAGATGCTCCTGTGAATAGAATTGGTTAAGAATAAGAATAATGAAGTAAGCAAAATATAAATGATACCTTAATACGCGATAAAGATCTCGTAAAACCAGATGCCTTCTAAAATAGTTTTGTATCGCTGGCAGAAGAAACTGTTTTGTATTATAATAGTGCGCAGCAAAAATGTTGAATGATATCATAATATAATCAACTAAAACTAGTGATTTTCGACACAGGATTAGTAGTAATACTTTTATTACATTTTTTTATAAAGTCCTATTTTCATTTTAAACCTTTTTTGTTTCATTTTAAACGTTTTAAACAAATTAACTTATAGATAGTAAAAAAAAACTTCATGTTCAGCTATGTAATTTTATGAAGAATACTTTTTTTTTATCAACGTAACTTTTTCATTGTTAGAAATACCATTTCATTATTACGAAATTAAGGATAAAAGAAATATTTTTGGAGACCAAAATTCGTACAAAACCAACTGTCTGTCTTTTGTAAAATGAAAAATAAACACCCATAGCTGTTGGGTTACCGAGTCGAAAAAGAGAAAGTAATTCGTGATAGGAAATATGTATTACGAATTCAGGCTTATAAACATTAAGTATCGTCTAAAAATTAATAATATTAACATTCTAACTATATCACAAAGGTTGTAATATATATTTTATCAAGCAATATTTTTTTTAATATTTTGTCCAGTCCTGAACCCTACTACAAATTACTAATACAAATACAGTACAGATATTAGTCAGTCTAATATCTGAGTATAGTAAAAGGCTAATCATGCTAATATCTGAGTCTATAAAGAAATAAGTTGTAGGTACGTAAATATCGTGCTATCTCTGTTATTCTCCAAAGAATTTGAAGTGACAGAAATATACTTAAACGCGACTTAAAATCGAATGGCGTTAAAGTATTTCTACATAAATTATACAATATCTTTTGTAACGTCCAAAAATTCATAAGACGGTTCTTAAAAAAAACAGCAAACAAAAATAGTTTAAAAAATCTTACGAGAAGTGAATGTTTAAAAAATACACTTTCCTCGTTATTTCCTTTCGGCCCGAGGCGATACGGACTTTTTGCCGGAAATTAAAACGTCACGAAATCGACTAAAAGCTTTTTTAAGACGTTATCTGTTTTAAATAAACTAATGAAGAGGTAAGTTGATAGTCTTAATAACTCGGTTCGGGTTTATTCTAATGATTTTTTGATTATTCACTTGTTTTTTTTTTGTATGAATGTTTTTTTACCCAAACCTGTTTTTTTAGGTGGGAAAATCATCGAATGACTGCTCCCGCCTGGGTGAGGCGGGAGGGAGTGTCAGACTCTTACTGACTAAAAACCACCCCGTTCCTTCTCCTGCACTTCGAACCGGAGCCCCGGTTACCCGTTAGGTTCTCCGCGACTTACTCAAACCTTAGTAGCAAACGATTGATAAAATGAATTATGATTGTGGTTGTTTATCTATCAAATAACTATATTAAACTGTCAAACACCAAGCGGTCACCGGTGACCGCAACCTATTATTCTATAATTGTGTCTACAAAACCGGTACTCGACGAGTTAATTTAACTTGAGCAATTTTTTATACCCTAAAATGCTTCGTTACGTGATTAGCTTCAATGATATTATTTTTGACAAGCGATTGACCAAAGATCTTAAACATTTTAAAGACTTTAAAAGTAAATCTACATTTACACCTTCTATAACTATAAACTTAAAAAAATTCAATAATAACTCTAAAAACCTTTCACAATTCAAAAACACATTACCTACAGATCAAAGAAAACCAAACCATATCACAAAAAAAATTAAGCACATAATACCAAAACTTACCAGATACAGCCACGATCTCGTTGTGCGACAAATCCAGGTGCGTCAAGTTAGCAATGTGTTTGAACGCATAGTCCTCAAGTACGTCTATCTGGTTGTTGTGTAACTTCAAATGAGTTAAGTTTGTAAGACCTGGGAACATGGGCGGTGAATTAAAGGATATTCGGTAACTGAGGGTGGTGTAGTGTGGTATACTTGAACTTTGTTTTACTCTCCCGTTCATGATGTAAATATGGTTCTTTTTTATTTCTTGTAAGTGTTAACTGGAGACTAAATTTTCTTATTTTATTAAGAAAACAAACAATTGTAAGTTTTACAAAATTACGGATTAAGATACAAAAATCGTTTTCACACTATACAAGACGTCTTCATATTGGACAACTCTTGTGTGAGATAGGAACTTGTTCGTATTGTTGAATTTTTTTACAATTAAGTCTTGACATTCACGGTTATGACATGGAGACTGAAATTTTACGTAGTGATATTTAGGCTATTACATGAGACTTGTAACACAATAGGGTAAATGACTAATTTTTATTTTAATGTCCGTCTGGTAGATTATTTAAAAACATTAAACACGTATTTTTTATTTTCTTACGGAAACGAATATTTTTGATCATATATTGATTTGAAATATCGCATGACGTCACTTTGAGTACGATTTATAGGTACTCTAAAATGCCGTAGCTACCTCCCACTCCTAAACTTTGATTCGTTTTATTTAAGTATTATTTTAATATACGACAAAATAAAAAAATAAGTGTCTAATATTTTTTCATTACCTAACTGACGGACTAATTAGATTTTTAATTTTCATTCCCTGTCATCATCCCTATTAGCGAGTGTTACATTGTTTATCATCCTGCTTAACCTTCAGGGGATTAAGAAACGTAATAAATATCACGAGTTAAAACTAGTTTAATTCAGTGTCATCAACTTGCGTACGTACTATACACATCTATGCATCCATCCCGCTCTAAAATACGAGCAAAATACGAATAAAGTAGAAGATAAACAAAACACAGCGATCCCATACAGCATGCATTTAAATTGAATTTAAATCAGTGAAGTATTCGTACGTCGTTTATGAGATTGTAAGTTGAGATCTCGAACTTATTTCATGCATATGCATGCAATGTTCTACGAGAATGCTGTTCAATATTCAAGCTTTTGATGAGTACAATTTTACTGAGTGAAAGGAATTATTTTTCACCCGTTTTTCTGTTGAAGAGTCAGGCAGAGGTGACACGTTATCTATTGTTAGTAAAGTTAAACTAAAAACCTAAGATCTTGGCTCTCCTAATAAAATAAATTGAAGGACATCATTATTTTAGCCTCGTTCACCGAGTAGTCGCAAGTGCGACTGCCGAGCATGGGGTCCTCAGGTTCGATTCCCGGGTCGGGCAAAGTATTACTGGGTTTTTAAAAAATTCTCAGTAGTACCACGGAGTCTGGAAATGTGCCCGGTATATGGCAATAGGCTCACCGCCTATTACATGGGACTCATAACATAAATAGTGAAAAGTGGGTGTTACATTGTACAGTGTCATAATTAACACCTCTGCCTACTCCTTCGGGGATAAAAGGCGTGATGTTATGTTATGTATCATAATTTTATCACCGGAGGAATAAAATTCCCCTAACTTGTGTCTATCATATTTCAAAATTCGTGAAAGATTATATGACAAAACGGGTCTTATACAATGTAACCTTCACTTTTCACCAGTTCTATAATTGGCCAAATCTATAAATAAACACCAATGCATTGTTATAAGCACCATATTTAACAAGGCCACAATTCCAGAGAAGATTTTGAAGAACCTCAAAAACCCATATCGTCGGGGATAGTCCAAATCCGCGGAACTAGCATTGGATAATTCCGCATATCTAACAAATGTAACTAATTTAAGTTTTCGCTAAAAAGTCCCGCAAAAACTTAATTGGCTGCCACCGCCTTGACACAAGTTCATTTCGACTCATTTTTAACATGTAAACTTCAAATTCATTGAAGTAACAAAGTTATTAGGTTTTATCCTTCCCTTGTAAAACTGAATCTATTGCAGATACGCGGCCTTTACGTATGGTAGATTCGCAGATTTGCATTATCTCCGACGATATGATACTTTGTTTGACCCGAGAATCCAAAACAAGACCCCTCACTCACCAAGTCGGATTTGTGACCAACAAGAGACTGAGCTCGTTAAAATTCAAATTTATTTATTTTAATCACCAATATTACGGTAATCCTAACCTATGTCACTCACCAGACAGAGCACCTCGTCGTATGCTTGCAAAAGTGTTATCCGACAACTGGAGCGTATTGAGGCAGGTCAGTGTGGGCACTGTGGATGGACCCAGAGGTCCTTCCAGGGCATTACTGGATAAATCTAAATCCCTCAGCATGTTAGCCTCCTGGAAATAAAAGGATAATTAGTAAAGAGATCAATGTGTATCATTATGTTGAAATACGAACTTCTTATTATAATAAAAATATTCTTAAAAGACTGCTTTGTTGCCCGAGTGGTCGCAAGTGCGACTGCCGGCAAGGAATTTTGGGTTCGGCTCGAGCAAAGTATTACTGGGATTTTTAAATAAATCTCAGTAATAGCAAGGAGTCTGGAATTATGCCTGGTATATGGCAATAGGCTCACCCCCTATTACATGGGACTTTTAACATAAATAGTGAAAAATGGGTGCTACATTGTACAGTGGCATTACGTGCCGTAATCTGTACCTCTACCTATCCCTTTGGGGATAAAAGGCGTAATGTTATGTTATGTTAAAAATATATTTAATAGATTTCTTATAAAAAAAAGTATTAAAGAGGTTTTATTTGAATTGCCATCACCTGATAGGTCACATTATAACTTATAATCCACATGTTAATATGAAGATATATATTAGGTTAAAATTGGTGGATTGAAAACTAATTCCAAGACTCGTGTTAAGCAATGTTATTATATATTTTATATTTTTATCAATTTGCAGACTTAAGTCTAGGCTAGCAAAGATACGTCGATGTTTCGCAACCCTAAAATACGATGATTGTAGGTACAAATTACCTTTCAATACTTTTATTCGTATCTTATTGAATGAGCCTAATTTAATCCATATTTCGTTGTAATAAGGACTTGTATAAGAAAATTACACTTGATTGATAATAATCAGATATTCGTTATGGGTATTACGAAATTAATGCTATTAAAGTAAAACGGTCCGTGCTAGACCCAAGGTGGGCGCCAATAACATTCGTCTCAAGAGCAATGTACAAAAATTGAATTCAGTACTTTTCAATTTCATTTTATCAATGTGATTTACATTTAATCAATTACATAGCTATTTTTTAATTATTATGTCTTCGGCTTCTCGGCTTACTCACAAACCTATTTGTCTGACGAGAAACTCGATTAGTCTCGCGTCGCGGGTATCGCAACGCTGTTCATGAATATGAGCCAAGCATAGCTTGAAACTAGTCGACTTCCTAACTAAAACTAAACTAAAAGTTATGTGAGCAAGGCGAAAACATAATAATTAATTAGTATGTCTCACGGAAGCTATTTTTCTTATTCTAATTGTTGTTATACCAGGAATTTATTTGCCTTTTGAGGTACATACTTTTTTAACTCGCCATGTTGACGATTCTATAACCTAATTGTACTGTACATGGGTAGTGAAACTTGCTGTTGTAAAATATGCATGGTGAAATATTTAGCACAACTATAATACGGTACTTGACAGGCAGTCAAATTCAATACTTTTATTGAAATGTCAAAAACGATATTTTTTTATGAATTTTGTATTGTATTTGTATATACTTATGTCGTCATCATATTTCTGCGTCAAACAGTATACTTATTTCCCTTAAAATTAGCGAGAAAAAATCCAAAAGTAAGTAAATTGTCAAATCAATGGATGAGAGTATGATTATTTTTAAATTATTCATTGCATTGACAATTTGAATCAATTTATTTTAAATCTAGGAAACTAGCCAATTACCTTCAATGTGACCAGGGTCGGTACTTTGAGTAAATTCCCTCTTAACCTCAATACACTCAGTTTTACCAGTGGTACGAATGCTCCTTCCAGAATGTCAGTCAACTGGTTGTCACTTAAATCCAAATATGTCAAATTCTTGACACCCTGTAAAAAAAATATTTGGCATTGTTATTACCGTATTAATCATTTTTTACATGACAATTTATAAGTATGTTCTTTAACTCGTCGAGTATCGGTTTTGTAGACACAATTATAGAACAATAGGTTGCGGTCACCGGTGGCCGCTTGGTGTTTGACAGTTTAATAGTTTTTATATTTTTTTTAATTATTTTGTACGCCAATTGGGATGATGACAGAGTATGAACATTAAAAATCTATGTAATGAAAAAATATTAGACACGTATTTTATTATTTTGTTGTATAATAAAACAATACTTAAATAAAACGAATCAAAGTTTAGGAGTGGGGGCTAAAACGTCATTTCTGCGTATAAAATGTACATAGAAGTGACGTCAGGCGACATTTCAAATCAATGTATCGTCGAAAGTATTCGTTTCTGTAATAAAATAAAAAATACGTGTCTAATGATTTAAAATAATCTACCAGACGGAGTTTAAAATAAAAATTAGGCATCTATCACCCTATTGTGACAAAACATATTAAGATGTTACGGTTTTTACTTTACCATCTGCATTTTCATTTGTATGTAAAATGTTATCTACACATGTTTAGACTAATAGATATACCCTTATCTTTAGCTTAAAGCTATTCTGCTTTACTGCTTTCTCATTTGAAAATTATCAGTTTGAATTCGCCAACCTGCTGTAGGCAAGCGTGATAATTTATGACTGCACGGTTGGTGCGGTGGCTGGGCAACTGGCTGCCGTGCAACGTGTCGCGGGTTTGATTCCCGCACGGAACAACACTTTGTGTGATCCACAAGTTGTTGTTACGGGTCTGGGTGTCATGTGTATGTGAACTTGTATGTTTGTAAACGCACCCACGACACAGGAGAAAATCCCAGTGTGGGGCAACGTTTTTATTAAAAAAAAAACAACAAATTGAACGAGTAATTTTTAAAAGACAACATGAATAACTCAAGAAAATATCTTCTCATAATGAATTTCTTAGCTAACAATCATTTATTTTCTTTATTATGTTAAGCCTCGAATAAAGAGTCGTAATTTCTGAAAGCTGTGTCAATATTAGTTTAGATTAATCATGTACATTTGAAAATGGATCTTACCTTAAATGAATTAGCGTCTAATGTATGAATTTTATTATTTGACAAATCTAAGCGATCGAGGTTCCATAGTCTGGTCAATGCTTCAGTTGGCACCACTGATAACTGGTTATTGGGAAGACCTGTAACAAAATGTAATTGTAAATATCTATAACACAGTTACACTCAATTAACTAAAAATCGCGAGTTACTCACGTGAAAATACTGAGAAAACCTCAACTAGTTTCAAGCCACAGAGGGGATCTTCCTCTTGAGCAGCGTGCGCTATCGCGGCGATGTCGCACAGCTAGTTTATTATTTTTTTACATTTGATGGGACTGACGTTTGACCACTATCTCGCCTGGTGGTAATTGGCAGTCACGTAAGTAATCCACGATTTTTAGTTAATTTAGTATGTCTCACAATAGTTATTATAAAAACACACAGTTATACTCAATCGATGATTTAGTGACAGTTAGTGTGAATGTGGTTGTATTTTTCTCGATATGGTCTCATGGAATTTATAATACAGATAAGAGGTATACATACAACGACTGCCTCGTTGGCCGAATGGTCGGTAAGTGCGACTGCCGGGCAAGAGGTCTCGGGTTCGATTCCCGGGTCGGGCAAAATATTACTGGGTTTTTAAATAATCTCAGTAATAGCACGAAGTCTGGAATTGTGCCCGGTATATGGCAATAGGCTCACCCCCTATTACATGGGACTCATAACATGAATAGTGAAAAGTGGGTGTTACATTGTACAGTGGTATAATGTGCACCTCTGCCTACCCCTTCGCGGATAATAGGCGTGATGTTAACAACATTTTTTTTTAAGGGGGGAAAATCATCGAATGACTGCTCCCGCCTGGGTGAGGCGGGAGGGAGTGTCAGACTCTTACTGACTAAAAACCACCCCGTTCCTTCTCCTGCACGTCGAGCCGGAGCCCCGGTTACCCGTTAGGTTCTCCGCGACATACATACAACATAAAAACCAATTACCTATAGATACAGTTACCAAGTGTAGCAAGCGAACATAGGTCACGGTAACCGATTGCCATCATCGTGGTATAAAAAAATCATAAAAAAATTGTCTTAAAAGGAAACCTTATCACAACACTGAAAAAACGATTTAACCGAAAGAATTCGAAACCTTCTCGAACATACTGTGAAGTTCAGTTAGTTCAACACGTTAGGGCTTACACACTAAGCCCACTGACTCGGTGTGTTTACTGCCACCGTTTCGTGTACTGGTCCCTAATTCCATTTGCAATCAAGATACACGGTTGCCGACAGTGATGTAGATAACTGGAAAGTACTGTCGTGTCCTTGAAAATATTGGTGGTGTTCATGTTATATAGTGTCTTTTTATAAGCACTATGCGTAGATGCAGTGCATTTTTTTTTAATGCAAAAAAAATATATATATTGTTTTTATTTATTTATTTATTCTTTTATGTACACAATTTTATTATGGCACATAAGGCGAACTTAATGCCATATGGCATTCTCTACCAGTCAACCTTAGGGTTTAAGTAGAAAATCAGCGAAAAATAAGGTACGGAGAATAAACTAACAGCAATAAGAGTGAGAGAGAAAAAAAAATTAAATAATAAAGCTATACATATATATTACACAATACTAAATAATATATATAGTCATATGCATAAAATACATAGGTATAAATACATACATAAATATATCGTACCTCCGGTGCTATACCGTCACTTATGTATTGCAGAGGCCCGCGCACAACTGAACAATGAAACGTTTTTTTACCGACTTCAAAAAAAGGAGGAGGTACTATGTTCGGCTGATTGTTTTTTTTTTTTTTTTTTTTTTTTTTTTTTT